TAAATGAATCACACGGCTGGCTCATATTTAAATGGTTGTCCGCTGGGACTTCCAAGATCCCTCTCACAGTTACTACTGTTGAGCAAGGTACCACCTATACTGTATCTGGGTATTTCGTTTTTGTTGCCTAAATGTAGAACCTTACTCTTAATGTAAAACCTTACTCTAGGGGGGAACTGGATTCATTTAACAACCATGTGATTCATTTAACAACCACAAAGATTCACCTAACGAATTACAATATCATGCACAGCTCCCTTAATAAGTGCCTTGGGTTAGCCACGCAAATTCTGCTCCTAATTGGGACGGCAAGTAAATCAAGGACTACCTTTCTTCCGAACGGTTTATCACCTGGTGGTCTTCCTTTCAAAGAGGCACCAAGTCCGGAACTTGCTCAAGTTTCTTAAGGAAAGCAGCCCAAGGTCTCTACAAGGTGCCTCGGCTGACCTCTCCTCCCGCTTTCTGAAGCAAAACGGTGGCTCAGCTAAGGCTTAATAAATCTTCTAAAAATACATGCGAATGCTAGATTAGAAACCGCAACCTGTAATAACAGCCAGGACGCCTTAATCACACCTCCCCCACATCATAGCTTGCGAGAATAGAACTGTCTACATTGCACGCTTAAGAACGTCCATCAAGACACACCGAGCCACAGATGGTCCAAATATTTCTCTAGAACTCATCTGTAGAGTCACCCAGGTCGTGGTTGTCCCAAAGGTGCCTTTTTTTCCAAGAGGCAATCGGGCTTTCTTGTTTTTCTTGGAAGACGTTCCGCTTCTCCTCCAAGAAGCTTCTTCAGCTCTGACTGAAGGGTGGGGGAATGGAAGGATTTATGCTCCTTGCAGAGAGCTGGTCATTTGCATCCTTTGAGAGGGTCCTTGAGGCCACTTGGAGGTTTATCGGTATCATCAGGGTCACCTGAGTGGTGTTAATGGTTCCTGTAGTCTGCAGTTGTTGTTTTTTTCTGGAAATCCAGCTGTACAGATCTACAGATGTTTAGCTATGCAGTTTGGGATGAATGGATTTCCAAGGAAAAAACCACTGCAGACTACAGGAACCATTAGCACCACTCAGGTGACCCTGAAGACACAGACTATCTATCTATCTATCTATCTATCTATCTATCTATCTATCTATCTATCTATCTATCTATCTATCTATCTATCTATC